TGTGAATTAATTTAAAATCACAGTCAGTTAGAAATACATATTATAAAATACAGTGGTGGCATAAGACTTGTTCTTGACTTGTTCAGACTTGTTCATCGTCACTTGTTGCCTGCTGCTGTTGAAGCCGTTTCCGCTTCCTGGCCATTTCATTCTCAGACCTCTTCTTTGCATCTTTTAGCCAATCACTGACCGCCCCTCTAAATTCAGCCGAGTTGTATGTGTGCCTGGAATCAGCACCTCTAGCTTTCAGAGCATTGGAATGTAGCTTGACTGCTGCTGTTAATAGAATAGTAACAATTAATGAAATAAATGTGAATGCTTTCAAATATACAGAAAGGTAAACATCTAGAAACATACCTTTTAGAACAATAAATGGTGCAGTTCCATCAAATTTCTTCTTTGAAATTGTTTGCTTTCGGTTAACACCAGTCAGATTGAAGTTCATTGCAAACTCGTTGCTCATTAGTTTCTTTAACATGGCAAAAACTGTCTCCCTAAGCTCATTAAGCCCCGCCTCTGTTAAATATTTGACCTGGAAAAGAAAATAGTAATATAAATGGAAGACAATGATACACAACAAGGAATATTACATAATATGCGTAGTTCTTACCATTCCAAGCTTTCCATCCTCTTTCGAGCAGAGGGTGGAAAATTTGGAGTAGTCAGTGAAGTCCTTTATCGGGACATTGGGAACAGATTGAATATCTGATGAGCCCTCTTGGGGTCCACAGGTCACGATGTAGATTTTAAGAATCATTTTCTTCAACTCCTGTACTTCATTTCTCATTTCAACAAAATGAGTGAGGAATCTACTGTTGACTGCTGTAAACAAAAATAAGTGTGAGGCAAAACTTGATGTTATGCACGTCATCTACCTTAGATTCTGGGACACTGGTAAATGACAGTTCGGCTTACGAGGATTGCCAGCTGGAGTCTTAGCTTCTCTGGTGGCTGACGCCACTTGATGTGGAGTTGTACCTGTATTAACTGAAAAAGAAAAATTTATAAAATCAACTGACAAGCACAAGTACATGGAAAGCATGTGAAACAATACATACGGGCAGTGTCTGTACCTTGCAAATTCGAAGCTGCTGATGGAGTTACGCCTTTGGATGCTGATGGAGTGACGCCTTTGGACCGAACCTCGAGCTCATCAGCAGGGGATGATGGTGGTGACAGTGCTGTTGATGTGCTGAGTGGGCTTGAGGCTGGTGATTTTGAACAATCCGAATGGGTTGAAGGACTACCAGGTCCAAAGAGGTTAACATTGTTACCTGGATTTCATGGCAAATTAAAACAAATTAAATTCAAAATAAATAATCACAAGAAAAGCATGGCAACAGGCAAGGAGAGTAGGAGAAACAAAACATGTACCTCCATTTAGTTTGAGCATCTTAAGAGGTCTCTCATCATCGTCTCCGAAATGCTGGTCCTGACTATAGAAAGAAGTTTGCTTCCTGCTTCTCTTTCCATCACTAGGCCCAACATCGTCATCGTTGACATCACTGGTGAACGCTGCCTTATCAGCTAAAGACTTTGCAGAGGCCAGAGTTTCTGCAAAGTACAGCAAGATTAATAATGAGTGCTCCTAAACTTGAGTCTCAAACAATTCAGATGTAACAGCGATAGTACTTACTACAAAATGTGAAAATGCGAACTTTTCTGAAAATCTTCCATCCATCCTTTGGACGCTTCTTTTGGACAAGACAATCCATAACCGTTGACTCCTTGGGTGGCCACAAGCATTTCTTGGCCTTGAAACGCTCTTTTTCATCATCAACACTAACTTCGACACTACGAAGCCAGCTGACCAGAGCAGGCGCTGTGACATGTTTGTTCCCCACTAGAAGTTCCACAACAGCATACTGAAACAACCAGATCAAAATGATAA